AATTGGTACTGCTTTCTTGTCTATAGATATTGAACTGCAGAACATAAAAATTTTTCAAAAACTTCCTATTATTGTGTTTTATAGCAACTTTATAGTACAATAACTCATCAATTCCTTAAAGCTAATCAAAAACACCAACAAAATTGCATCATTTTAGTTACCAACCATTAACATACAAAATTTCAAGTGATCCCTTTTTTTATTTATCAAGTAATGCTCTATCAAAAATCATAAATAATCTACTGTATGCTCCAAGTACTTAAATTTTTCTAATTTTGGTCAATATTAAATCAATCATAACTTTTAAACGGTTTGGTCAATCAAGCTGAAAGTTTGAGGTTTGCATTTTTTTTATAAATACTGTAGGTGGTCGAAATTTGAAGCAAATTTGAGGTGATACTCTGGGGATCATTAAGTAATTTGATATAAAATAACCCATATAGTTTTTTCCTTTTTAAGCCAACTCTCATATGTTGGTGGAAAGTCACCGAAGCATATGTAAATGACTTACTTGAGTGGCATTTTTTGTATTTCTTTATTTATACTTTCATTTGTTACATTTATATTTAAAACATTTAAGGTATTATCAACAATTGCAAAAATTTTATTAATTATTATTTTTACATGTGAATATTTATATAACACAACAGTATAATACAAATTATTTATTACATGTGAATATTTATATAACACAACAGTATAATACAAATGTCTATACAATTGATATAAACATATAAAAATTACAACAAAGTCAATTCTTACTTAGGAATATTTTAAACATATATAATAAAAATATATATTTTCAAAATATTTTTATTTATTTATATTATATTATAAAATTTAATTTCTAAAAAATTATAAAAATCTCATTTGAACTATAAAAATTATAAATTTTTATAATATTATAAATGTACATAACCTGTATACTTTTGATGTCAAAAGTGTTAAATATAATAATATTAATATATGAATAAATTATTATAAGTATATAAATTTATAAAGAAAAATTTTGAGTTTTTTTTTGAGCCCAATTTACAATATTTTTGATTTTTTTAAAAGTGCTTCTATTCTTTTTTACTCTGATAAATGTCCTGAAATGCTTGATTTTGTTCAGTGGCCAGTTAATCATTTAGTTGCACATTTTTAATCAAATAATTTGCTTGACTTAATGCGGCAACGTGGGCATAAGAACTGAATGTTACTAAAAACATCTAATCATATGAATTCTGAAAAAATATTGACTACATTTATCTTGGTTTTAACATCTAGCTAATTGTATTAAAAATTTGTTGCATGATGATAACCTGTGTGTAAACAAATGACAAATATTTAATAGTAAATGTTTATGGTCAGGCCTTTTTTAAATCTAGAAATACACAGATTTAGTCTTTACTTTGCTAGTTTGTTTCTAAACCTCTGTATCTTGTTACTTTTTTTTGTGTCAAACAAAAACCTAAATTTTTTAAGGAGGTTTTCAAAAAGTTTTTTGCCTTTTGAAAAACTTCTTTAAAAAATAAATGTATAAAAAAAAGAGTTGTTTTTATTAAAGACAGTTTCTTTTTCACTTTTAGATACTTCATAATCTTTGTAACTCATCTTAGTAAACTGTGTGTTAGCTAAGAAGAGTTATAAGATAATTATATAGTATTTAAAAGGCTTTTGATTGATTTACTTTGCATTCTAGATTCTTTTTGGACTATATGCACTTGGTTTGTTATGGGGTTGTCCGTCAATTATTGGTATTTTGAAAGAGGGACCAAAGATATGTCGTTTGGCACATGTTTAAATTAATCATATTTCTGAAAAGTTAAGAGATTTATTTGGTAAAAAGCCATCTGGTTTGTCAGAGAATCTAGATCACTGGTAAAGTTAGAGAAAGATAAAAGGCTTCGTAGTTAATTTCTTTTGTATAATTGTCCTTATTTACTAAAAATACAAAACAAGTTGTCAGCATCATTGCATTGATTATGCATTGATTCTGTTGATTTGGTTTGGGTGGCTGTATTATTGAGGCTGTGTATTATTATGGCCCAACATTATTAATACACAATGTACACAACCTGATTCCTTTGTTATAATATTTTGAGTTACCATTTCTTGATATGTATGCCTTTTTATTTAAAAATAGTTGAGTCTGATATTATTGGTTTTTGGTAAAAAGATGTCACTTGCTCAAATTGTTAAGCGTTTAAGAGAAATATAATCAGCTCCATTTGGAAAAAAAACACCCAACAAAGTGATATTAAGGAGAATTATTTACTAAAACATTATTTGATTCTTCACTTTGTGAAAATGTTTTGTTTTAACTTTTTTATTGTTCCATGCAATTAAAGTTATATTAAAGTATTGTGCCTTTGCCAGAATAAACCCTGTAAAAAAAAGTTTCACAGAAATCTGAACTCAAACTCAAAGTAATTTGTTTCAAGGGTAAAACAAGAAATGTTTTTTTTTTTTCATTATGTCGCGATTGTGTGTTTTGAATAAATTTTATTTATTTATTCAATTACATATAAATTTGCCTTGGGGGGTGGGCAGTTTCATTAGTTTTGCAGTTTATTGGGAAACTATGTTTTCTCTTTCAGATGATGTTGCAAAACATTTTGTAGTGTATAATCTTTTAAAGCAGAAAAACTCAGATGAGTCAAATAGAAAGTTAGTCTAATTTCTGTTATGTGTAATATTTCTATTTGTTCATTGCAAATGTTTTTTATAATGTTCTTGAAAATGCTTATAATTGGATTTGTTTGTAAATTTATATTTCTTCATATAAACAAACAAAGAATACGCGAGTTGTTTGAGATAAGGTTGAAATTTAGGAAAAAAAAAAAATCTTACTAGTTTTACTCTAAATTATTGTATATGATATTAAAACTTTGAAATAGAAGTATTGCAAAGTTAATTTATTTTTTTAATATTTTAATTTCCATACTCTATTAATTGCCTAAACTGAATTAATTACCATGTATGAACTTAATAAATAAAAGGAAAAAAGAAAATCACAGTGCAATACTATATAGTGTCACATTATGCTATATTGTTCTTTGCAATTTATGAATAGCATCTTAAAAGTAATAGAAAAACATTGGAGAACGTTTTTTTTACAACCTTTGGCCAACATTGTCAAAATAACGTTAGCCTATATTGTCTCAACGTCATTTAAATCAAAATAACGTTCGGAAATGTTTTTATAATGCCTTTTTTCTTCAATTCAACGTTGCTCTAACGCCCTCCGACATCATTTAGCTTAATTGTAACATTATTACAACATCATTTTTACATTATTGCAATAACATTAGTAAAATGAAGTTTATCCTTTGTTTCATTTATAACATCATAACGTATTTTCAATGATACGAACGACGTTAAAACAACAATTTTCCAACATTATTTTTCTTGATGGGGTACCAGAATCTCCTTTTCTGTCGATAATTTTTAAGTCACTGCATTGAAGAAATCAATCAATTGTTGACTTGCTTGAAGAAATTATTGTGAAGTTTTGGCTCTACAAACATGCTGCTTGATGTTTGGTTTTATTAATCCGTTGTTTGATAGTCCCGTATTTAACTGTACATTTACAAAAGCTACAGAAATAAATTTTGGAGCGCTTCAAAGTGGTTGGGAACAAATTTGAAACCATGAACAACATGAAACCAAAACATATACATTTTATCTTTATTTTAAACTTTGTTCAGAAAGTTTGTTTAAAACTTTTAAATTATTTGTTTTTAAAGTGATTAGAAGCTTGTTAAAAACATCCTAAAACTTATATTGCGTCTTTTTATAAAGATTTTCTTAGAACATATGTGTATAATTAGTTAAATGTTAATATTTACCTTAGATGATTAGAAGCTTGTTAAATACATTCTAAAACTTATATTGTGTCTTTTTGTAAAGATTTTCTTAGAACATATGCGTATAATTAGTTAAATGTTAATATTTACCTTAGGTAATTGTAAATGAAGGCCTGCCAGATGCTTTAGCAAGTCTAATATAAAGTCAAGTTTGATCAGGGAATAACTTTTTATTGGAAATAACTCGAGATGCAATAAGTTTAGCTGCTCTGGCACCTTATGCTGCTAAAGATCGAAGGCTTTTTCTGAACTTTATTTGAGAGCATTTGTGACACAAAACTTTCCCGAGGGCAGAGACATGTACTTCAACGCACATTTAGTTCTTTGTTAATAATGGTTTCCTTTGCAAGAGGATTTTTTTATTGCGGCTTTGAACGAATAAATTGCCCGACTAGGCAATTACAAATCGTGCCTCTTGTTTCAGGTTTTACTTTTTCATTACTTTAAAAATAGTGACAAGTTATCGCAATAAATGGTAACATTATGAGGTCTTAATAGCAAAACACTTACAAAATATAAACTGCCATAAATCTCTAACCAGTAAATCAATCCATCTGAACTTTTATCTAGAACTTGGTGTAGCCTTTGTACTTTTTTTTACTAACATTTGCACTAATTTTTAATAAGTTATATTAAGTAGTTCCTATTCTATAGGTGATTTTATTGTGGCACTATAAAGTCAAATTTCACTTAATTAAAACATTCAAATTGATGAATTTTTTGTGAACAAAACTTAAAGGTTTCAAAATTAGCATCAAAGGGTACCTTGTTATGTACGCTATTACTAAATATTTGCGTTCATAGGTCAGCAAGATTGGCATTTTTTGGATCCGTTCTAAACGTGGATATATTTAAATAATTTTTCAGATCCTTTTTCTCAAACTTTAAATCTCTTAAGATTATAGTATGACGGTTTTTTAATTACAATTCAAGTCATATTTTAATAAAACTATTTTTCAAGTTTAGTTAAGTAAAGTCAATATGTGAAAAAACAAATTACAATGTCTAATGGCCATGCATTGTAACCAAAATATTACCCAATCTACCAACAAAGAATGCTATTAAATATTTTGATAGAATGAACATAAGACATTGAGTAAAAACAAAATATAAGAAGTAATAGTGTTTATGAAAGAAACTGAAACTTACCTCCATTAAATTTACATATAAAACCAAGAAGATCATCACAACTAGTATCGTACCAACCATTAAAATTTAGTGCTACGCAGTTTTCTACTCCTAAATAATTATTAGGTTGATCCTTGGTCCAACCAAAGAATAACAAAGTTGTATTATCAGACCAAGCAAAGGTTCTTTGAAGATTATTCAGGCCTTAAAATATATTGTAAAATACGAGTGAAAAATGTTTCAAAACATAAAGTCAAAATATTAATAAAAAACTATTATACCAATCCAGAAATGCAGTTCGTTCATGCTGTTGTTTTTTAGGTGGTTTGTAATAAATGAATTTTCAGCTTGACTTGTAACACTTAATAAATTTCCTCCCATTGTTTGACATACAGTAAGAGACATTTTCCAGCTTAATCCATTCTGTGTTGCACTTCCACTATGAAAAAGATAACAATAGCTCCCAAACTCAAAGAGGCTGTTTAAACAACCAAAAACTTCTAAAAAAGTAACTATTATTTGCGTTTCAAAGTAATAAATTAAATTTAAAAAACTCAAAAAAAAAACAGAATTATTAAGATTATAAAATAACTGTTGCAACAACTGTTAACCATGCAAGAAAAAGTTACAAGTTTTCAGACGTTTAAAAATATTTCTTTTTCAAAACAGTAAACAGTTAGTTTTAGATAATAGCTAAGCAAGAACTTAACAATGAAGCTTGTTGAGTGTAACTTTATATTTTATATTAATTATATTTTAACTTAATGTATAAATTATACACAGCTAGATCAATTCTAAATTTTTAGTAACTGTAGAATAAATAATATAGATAAACTACATTATTATTGTTCTATTTTCGTTAGATCATTTGCATATAAGTACCTACATTTTTACTAGATTGTTATTGCAAAGTCAGTAGCTAATTAATAATGTATAGAATCACGTAACAAGTAGATAATGTGAAATAAAATGTAGAAAGCTTTTGAAGTTGGAAGTGTGAATTCATTAATGTATATATATATATATATATATATATATATATATATATATATATATATATATATATATATATATATATATATATATATATATGTGTGTGTGTGTGTGTGTGTGTGTGTGTGTGTGTGTGTGTGTGTGTGTGTGTGTGTGTGTGTGTGTGTGTGTGTGTGTGTGTGTGTATGTATGTATGTATGTATGTATGTATGTATGTATGTATGTATGTGTGTCTGTACGTATTTATGTGTGTATGTATGTATATATTTATGTATGTATGTATGTATGTATGTATGTATGTATGTATGTATGTATGTATGTATGTATGAAATAATGCTGACTGTCAATGTCAATTGAAATAATGCTGACTCAGCTTTTTAGGAATTATATGAAGAGACTACAAAACAACTTTGGCATATAGTATCTTCAAAATGGCTTGGGGAAAATATCTAAAATTTAGTACCCCAATAAATATTTACTTGAGGAATCCAAATATAGCCCAAAGCTTGAATTTCTAAGGTATACCTCGTTTATCCAATTTTGTTTAAACTTATTGACTTGTTAGTTCATAATTTTTAGAGGTAAAATGAAGACTCTGTTTAAATGTATATCAATATTTTATCTTAGGTCAACTAAAAAAAATTTAACAATTTAATTGTCTCTCTAATCCTTGATCAAAATTTGCATTTTAAATCTGTATCTTTTTAAAAAACTTTAGTTTTGTAACAAAAGCAATTGAAATTTAAAATATTTATTTGAAGATAGCATCAAATAGTGTTATTTATTGTCTACTTTAGGACATTTATAGTCATGGCGCAGGGTAGAGCAAGGAGATTTTTATTTTACAAACAAAAAATAAATTAATGATAAATAATCATTTAAGTTCAACTTAAAAACATAATTTGTTTTAGAAACAGTTTATTTTTTTTATTTTAATTCAAATCTTTGAATGCTTACCTCTTATAATATCAAAAACAAGCAAAAGTTTTTTTTTTTTCCTTTTAAACGTTGCATTTTACTTGTTTGTATTTTTTGAAAGAATGATTGTGATTTTTTTTTGTTTTTATTTTTTTTTGGAAGTTGTTAAATTACGATATGTTACGATGTTAAATTACGATCGTTAAATTATACCATGATCGTTAAGTTATAGAAGGAAGAGAGTATATGGCATAAAACTATAAGAATAAACTGCAATTTAGATATTTCTTCCAAATTTTTGAACAATGGATGTTTAGATTTGCAAACATATGGTGATCTAAAAAAATTCTTTGATAGATAAATTAAGCGTCATCACTTTTTAAATATATTTCTGATATCACTGTATTGTCACCTTTTTAATAATAATTAACTGATATACGTTTAGTATAAACGTTGTTAGGTTCCAGATTTTAGGAGGAATAAAAAAAAAAATTCTCAAACGCCATGATTAAAATAAACCTTGCCTATTTTATCGAACCAGATTGTATATTAATCATAGCTAAATCCCCTCTTTTAGTTTTAGCTTTGTTGCTAAAAGCACGGGATAAATTTATCAAAAATTGTATTGGAACAGCAAAGGTTTCTAAAAGTTTATCTTATTAAGTGCTTTCAGGGAACAGATCCATCTGAAACTCTGCTAATTTATAACTCTTGAACATATTGGACAATGCCTTAGTAAACTGATCTGAGATTATGGACTCGTCCTTGTATTTGAGAGTACTTGTCCATAATCTTATGTGCCGTATGAGGATTAATGAAAGCCGTTTTCTATTTATTTTACTTTTAGGTTTAAACACATTTTTTTGGTTTTACATTTGTTTTTTAAGACAATATTTTACACCTTTTGAATCTAACTCACTTAACAATTGGATTTAATTTATACCGAAGTGTGGGTCTGTTGCTTATTGTAGGTTTATAACTTTAAAAAGTATCACAGATAGTTAAAGTAACGCATATCTAATTACAGCTTTATAACATTAGTATAACAGTTTTTTCAATTATTAAATAAGAAAGATGAAAGTATATATTTGATGAAAGTATATATTTTAAATTAATGGCTAAACTATTTTTTAGTAAAAAATCTGGGACAAAGTTTAAAAAGGATCAACAAACAGCCTACGTTGACATTTTTATCAAACTTGAATTAGTTGAGGGTCAGTGTGAGAAATCACAAAATGTAACACAACAATATATTCGTCTAATGTCAACGCGAGACATTATTGCCAACTTATCAGCATTGTCAAAACAATTGCAATATGATTTAAAAATATATATCGCAATTGGCATGCTGCAACTTTTTTTCTTTTTTTAAATATCTTCATATCCAACAAGGCTACAAGCAGCCACTATTAGAGTTGGAAGTTACTATAAGTGAAAAGATGAAATTTACAGAGCAAGATAACGATTAACAGATGACTTAAAAAATTGAACATTACATGAATTTATTTTAAAATATTGAAAATTATATGAATATCCTATCCTTAGTTATATCAGAAACCACCCTGTAGACTCAGTATGATGGTCTTTTTTTGGCCCATAAATGTTTTTAACAAATATAATGGGTTGTTATATGCCATCATTTTGGCTTATTTACTGAGGCATATTTATGTTTGCCAGCCTGTTTAAGCCTTATCCTGTTACAGAAAAAAATTGCACTTGAGATCAATTGCCTGTTCTAATCAAGGTGATAATTTTTTTGTCAAAACTGGAATATATAGATGTGTTTTTAGCAAATAAAACCAGACTAGATGTCAGTAAGATTATTAATATAGATGAAAAAAATTACAGAACTAAAGGTTGAAACTTGTGGCTTTGTAACTTCAGGTTGTTTCAATTATAAACTCGTCAAATTAGTCATCATAAGAATGGAAGTTATAGCGTTCCGATATCTTTATATGTATTCATATAAATTTTTAAAATAGCAATTTTAATAGCAAAAATTCTATTTCAAACATAAATTAAATTTGAAGAAAAGAAAAGAAAGGTAAAAAACTTAATTTTAAACTTTAACAAAATAATATTGGTTATACTTTTATAATACAACTTGAACATTTTTTAGTAAAATTTATTTGTTATATATATTCAACAATTTTCAAATGAGAATTATCATGTTAGCATTTGAAGTACCCAACTAACACAAAACGTTTGAGCACGCTCGACGAACGTTTTGAACGCTCAAGCCCGTTTATGAACGTCCCGTAAAAGTTATGGAAAACTGTTTAATCGCAGCTAAAATTAACGTTCAATAAACGTTACCATAACGTTCGTTAAGGTTTGCGTAACATACGCCGCAAACGTTATTTGAAACAGCTTTTGTGAACTTCGACTTACAGTTCTTAAACGTTCATTGCGAGCTTTGAAATAAAAAAACAACGATCGTTGAATTAACAAACAACAATCGTTCACTGAAAACTTTACTTTAATAGCTTTTGAACGCTTACCTCAATTGTATTATAAGGAACACGAACTTTTACCCAACATTTTCTTTTTTTCAAATGCTTAAATGTTTAGATGTAGACATGTTTTATATCTGTTTAAACTTACATTTGCTACTATTTATGTAATACAATCCTTTTTCTAACTTACTTAACCCATTTTTACTAAAGCAATAAAAATTCACCACTTATTACAACTGAATTACACCATCTCAACTTATTTTGAAAAATCATGATTTAGTTATTACACTTTAACCAAAAGGCACACAAATGGCTGAGCTGATTAAAGTCAGCAAAAATTTGTACCAAAAATACAATACCTCTAGCGATGAAAAAGTTTATTAATTACTACTAGTTGGTGTTTTATAAGTACCCAATAAGACACTACTAACAATTTACATCAATTTAAGTTAAATCTGCACAGAAAACAACGTCGACAACATTAATACAATTAACATTACATGATGGCGTCCTTTATAACAGGCCTATTCACCGTGCGGATGACGTCATAAACTGGAGGCGAATTTTTTTGAACAGAAAAAACACTAATAACATGAATTAAATTTGAAATTTAATTTTCAATTAAAAAATACTAAATTAATTTTTTTTTTAACATATCTCTACATTTTTACAAATTATCATTTATTTTACAAACCATAAAAACCAATTATTTTATTTACTAACCATAAAAACCTTCACCATCATTCTTCATCATATTATTTTTATTTAAATTTTTTAACAGAAACAGTATTTTATGTTGGATTTTTTTTGAAACTCAGTGTTAAATAACAATGTTATTTAACACTTAGGTTAAAAATTTTTTGTTTTGGTTCTTTTTCTGATCTTGTTGAATACAAACTACAATAGTTTTTAAAGAATATGTTCGAAAGTATAACACCATGTTTTCTATTCATGTTCAGTTAATATGATTCTGAAATAAGCATCATTAGATTGCATAAAGAAGAAATGCATGTGTTATCAGCCACTTCACGAAACATAATATAACAATAAATAACCTATTGACATACAAAATCACCAGGTACAATTAATCCTCCACGATTGATTTCGTCAGTAAAATATCTGTATTTCTCATA